AACAAAATCCATGTCCTTACTCTTACCTCTTATACCTTGAGAGTGCTATGTTTTATTCCTCAGTTCAGTGATTTATATATTGTCACAAAGAGACTTGGTTCGGATCCAGTTGGGAAAACTATATTCTGGGACTTTCTACAGAATAAATGTCATCTTAGAAGTTTGTGAATTTAATTTGGAATCACCTGCTGAGCTCTCAGTGGAATATTAGATAATTCAGAAACCATTTCCCCTATTTTTAAGACCAGAAAACAGAGAGGCAACTTGCATGCCTCTTCTGAAACTTCTCCCATAATAAATAGTTCAAAAATCAGTCTTGCAGATAAGTAGCTGAATGAAATGTTAGCATTTATGAAAGTATATTAAAAACATAAGTTTAGCAGCAGAATTCCAAGTCAGCCTATGGGAAAGGTTCCAGAATTGGGAAAAAAAATCAAACAAACAAAAGTCCCAACGTACATTGAGAAGGAAAGTGATAGTTCCTGTGAATAATTCTTGACAAATTAGCCTTACCTAGTGGATGTATGCAGGATCTAGGTCATCTTACATTATCTAACCCAAGCTCATTATATTAATTTTAGCTGTGTTTTATTATGTGCAAACTCTCTAGTTCTACAGAACTCAGCTACTCTAAAAGATGAGAGCAGAAAGGAAGTCAATGTCTTTACAAGGCAGAAGGATGGCTCCATCGGCACAGAGAAGGTAACATGTGCTTTTTATATTATTATCCTCATTCATTCCTCATGTGTCACTCCAAAAACTTTGTGAGAATATCACTTATCCTCTCAAACATATCCTTATTCAAGATATACATTTTCACTGGATAGCTATATATTTAAATGTTTTCCCTATCGATCCAGGAACTTGATTCCATGTGCTTAGCAGATTTCCCCTGTAGGAGGGAGAAAAAGTATCAAAGGCTAGAGTTTCCCTGTTGGCTAGTCAGTGTGGTTTTGGCTAGCATCTCTCTCCCACTGTGTGTACAGATGATTCCAGGATTAATGTTTGACATATTGTCAGAAGAGTTGAAAGAAGACATGATAAGTGAGTCAGAAAAGACATAACCAGAAGAGGAACACCCATGACAACTCAAAAAATAATAAATAAATAAATAAATAAATAAATAAATAAAGCTGTTGTCCTGTGCTGCTGCAGGGCTTAGGACCCCATGCTGTGCTTTCTTTGTCTGTAAAAGCTTGCTCAAAATTGTAAGATTTACTGCAGAGTAAGAACCTGTATGATTTTTCACCCTGGCTTTCTCCATTACAATCTCCTTTATTCTACCTCAATCATTTTAAGAGTCAGTAGAAGAAAATTTAGTCAGTTATAGAATTCTGTTCTAGTCTTCAAATTACCTTCATATTCCAAATTAACTTTGGAATGACAGGCAAAACCAAATAAGGAAACAAATGTAAATGTTTAAAAAATCTATAAATGTAGTACTACTGGAGGTTAGTATGAAAAAAAATACAATAACAACAGCAAGTTACCATGGAGTCTGTCTTGGATGAAGAATATCGGTTCACACAATAGATAGTTAACACCATCCTGATTTCAAGACTTTCCCAACTCATGTGAGCTATATAGCCTATGCTTTTCCTCAATTGTCCATCCACCCTTCCTCTGGCTTCCTAGCTAGCCTTTGATTTCAAAAAGCTGGTGTCATACTGTACTGAGCTGCATCACCAAAAATTATGGAATTTACTTTTCCTGCTGTTGTGGGAGGGGGAAAAAAAGGAAGAATGAGAAATAACCTCAGGGAGACAGAATTTATGAGGGTTCAGGGTTTCAGACAGGCCAGTCCATCATGGGAGGGAAGGCATGGTGTTGGGAGTGGCTGGTATCTCCGGAGACTGAGTGTGGGTGTGTGGGCTATATCATAACCAGTAGTTTGGACTTAGGTTACTCAACCTAGAGATAATCCAAAGCCATATGCCAAGAGACCTACTTTGTCTTAGTAGGGCACTGTTCTTGAAGTTTCCACAGCATCCTAAAATGCTTAGCCAGCTCAGGACTAAGTGCAAATCCTGAGCTTAAGAATGGCATTTCATACTCAAATCGCATTAGCGCCATTGCTTTTCAGGCTGAAGTTAGCCGTTGAGGTATTTGCTTCCAAACATGGTAACTTGACAAGCTAAATTCCTTCCACAGAAGCTACATGGTGAAGAGAGAGAATCAATACCACGATTGTTGTACAAGTTGTATTCTGAACTCCACAAACATGGTATGCTAGCACACGCTTGTGTGCACACGCTTGTGCACTAAACACAAATATATTGTTCTTTCAAATTAAACCGAGAAAGAATAACATGAAATTACTAGGTCATCATATTCAAAACTGATGTCCCTCATGTAGCACTAGTCTTTAGTTCCCCTAGGCAGCTTCAACTGTCAGCTTGACACAACACAGAATTGTTCCAAGTAGTCTCGATTAGGAAATATCATCCAAAAGAATGGCCTTAGACATATGTCTGAGATAATTTCTTGATCAGTTTAACTGATGCAGCAGTGGTTAGTCCCCTGTGGACCATGCACTCCTGGGGAAGGGTCATGGGTTTTGTAAAAAAGCATGCTAATTGAGGTATGAAGAGGGAGCAAGCCAGTAAGCAGCATTCTTCCATGGTTCCTGTCTCTAAGTTGCTGCCTTGAGCCCAGCTCTGGCAAGCCAGGATGATGGACTCTAGCTTGTAGTCAACAAACCCTTCTCTCTCCAAGTTGCTTTTATAGTCATGGTATACATTATAGCAACAGAGGCCAAACTAGAACACTAGTCTAGGGACATGCTATCTGACTTATAAAATTCCACTCAAACTGTTTTCAACCAGGCATTTTTATTTTCAATTTAGCAAAGCTAGCATGAAAATTACATTCTACTTTATGTAAAGGGGGCACTTGAACAGCCCACATTGCGTAGATTATAATCATTTGTCTGTCACTTGAAATTGCTCAATACAGGTTATTAAGAACATGTATCATATTTTGAAATTCTTTGAAATGTACTAGCCAAGAAATCTGTATGCTCAACAACAATTTAAGTATGGCATGGGTCAATGTTTTTTATTTTAGCATTTGTTTTGATTTGAGGTCAGTCTGTCTCAAACTTCAATAAGCTACAAAAAGTATATGAATAAACTCAACAGTTTTTTATGTTTTTATTTAAATTATAAACATGAATGCTTCACATGTCAATCCCAGCTCCACACCCCCCCTCCTGTCCCTCCACCAGCACCCTCCCTTGCCCCCAGGCCAATCCCAACATCATTCCCCAGGGAGAGTGAGGCTCTCCTTGGGGGAATCTCCAGAGCCTGTCATTTCATGCAGGGCAGGACCTAGGCCCTTCCCCATGTGTCCAGGCTGAGAGAGTATCCCTCCGTGTCGAATGGGCTCCCAAATTTCATTTGTATGCCATGGTAAACACTAATCTACTACTCAAGGCCCCAGAGATTTCTGAGGCTTCCTCACTAACACTACATTCATGGAGTCTGGGTCAGTCCCCTGTTGGCCTCTTAGTCATCAGTCTGGGGTTCAAGAGCTCCCCCATGTCCAGTCAGCTGTCTTTATGGGTTTCACCAGCGCGGTCTTGACACCTCTGCTCATCACTCCTCCATCTCTGTCACTGGGTTCCAGGAGTTCAGTTCAGTGTTTATCTGTGAGTATCTGTCTCTATTTCCATCAGTCACTGGATAAAGGGTCTAGAATGTCATATAAGGTAGTCACCAACCTTATCATCAGGTAGGGGCTATTAATGTAGTCTCTCTGCTATTACTTAGTTTTCCAGTTGGTGTTATCCTTGTAGATCTCTGGAAATCTCACTAGTGTCAGCTCTCTCCTCAAAGATATAATGACTCCATCTATTATAGTATCTCTCATCCTGGTCTCCTATATTCTTACCCAGACTCAACCTTCCTGCTCCCCCATGTCTTCTTCTACCCTCCTCTTATCCCCCTCTCTTTTACCTGGGTCCCTCTTCCCTCTCCCCTCATGTTCCCATAAACTCAACAGAATTAATCTATCATATTTCTTATAACAGAATCATGTAGCTAAGAGTCTCTTTTATAGGACTTTTCAAAAGTATTATCGTCACTGAGGACACTAAACACTTTTTACGCTTCCTCGCGTGTCGGTTAATTCTTCCCCTTCACAACCCATGCTAATTCACCCTGTCACCATCATATATCAGTCCGGGCTTTCTAAACAAGATTCAAATATAATCTTTTTCTTCCTGTGTAAAAGAAGACCATCTCTACTCAGGAATTATTCTCATACTAATGCCTCATTCTTGAGCACCCCTCTGCCTGACAGGGGATGTCTAGCAGGACCTCTTCAATCATGACACCCTAGGGAGGCCAGGTCTCAGGCAGAGCTAAGCAGACCAGCCCCTGTGAAAACGGAGTCTCGATTCTCCCCACTGTGTCGTCTCCAGAGACCGCAATCTTCCTTTGAAAGATCTATTTTATTTTTTCCTTAAGCGTACTTGTGAGAGACTACATTGGTACACGCAGGCAGGTGCCTGAAGAGGAAACAGTCTTTGCATCTTCTCAGAACTAGAATTACCGGTAGTGAGTCACCTCTTGAGGGGCTGTGAACAAAAAAATCAGATCCTCTGCAAATGCCAACTGTCCTCAACTACTTGTTCATCTCTCTGACCCTGCACTCCTATTTTTAAAAGCATGAATCATATATGTTTTAGTCTTAGCTTTTGCTTATTTTCATTTTTCTTGATCGAATGTTGTACGGATTACTGTAGGAGAAACTGCTGGCCAGCCTACCCAAACCACAGGAGCCCAGGTCAGCCTGCATGAGCCTGCCTGGCAGGCACTTCCTCCCTGGGCCAAGCCTGCCTCTATGCCCAGAGACTGCTGACGAAGAGACACCTGACCCAGAGACACCAATGATGAAAGGACAACGCAGCAGAGTCAGCCACCTGAGCCAATGGGACCTTGGGAGGGGATATAAAGGCAGGCCTAACTCCCTTAATAAATGAGTCTGCAGCTACTCCCGGTGCTCGAGTCTTTGGTGCTGCCTCTTTTCAATCCCTCCCCCAAGGGGTGTCTGAGCAAGGTCACAGGGTCACCGCAACATCTTGCTTCTAGATGTGGGGGCTGTGGATCCTGTGATGGCGTGGGTCTCAACTCCGCTAGAATCGGTGTATTTTTTTTCCATTGCCGCAGCTGTTTTTTGGGTTCCCGATATTTGCCTTTTGTTGCTGGTGGTGCAGCGGTGGATCCTAAGTCAGTGCACCCTTTCGAACTCCTCTTCATGCTTGCCCGCCTGTGCATTTCGGCGTCCCCTCTTTGGTGACTTGTTCGGTGAGTTGGCCTCTTCGTGTTTCAAGTCCTTGGTTCTCGTGGAGGTGAGCGCGGGGATCCTCCTCCTTTTCTGTCTTTGTGTCTGTCTGGTATCTTTCGTGCATCAGGTGGGAACATCAGCTACCCTTAGGTCCGACACACTTGCTCTGTTCGTTCGAGTCTGTCTTTGATTTAGACTTGGTTCTTGTCTGTGTCTCTGACCATTAAGAGAATGGGGAACTTACCCTCCCGCTGTGAGGAGCCTCAGGTGAGAGCACTCGAATCAATATTGGTCCACCGGGCGCATTAAGGTTAAGAATGCCCACCTGGAGGATTTGGGGGATGAGGCCATGGTGTTGGTCCCCCTGGATTTCTTTAGAAAAACATGTGGGAGCCTGACCTCTGGATGCGTGTGCCCTTTCCTGACCGAAAGCGTGGTTCAGGAGTGACCCCCTTTTCCCTACGCTTTGATTGGGGTACTGTCTTACTACCAGTTATTGTCTTTAATTGTTTCCTACCTTGTATTTCCATACCTCAGGTTCTCATGGCACTTCAGCACCCAGAATGTGGCCCTCCTTGGGAGGTCCCTTGGCCTGGCTCACAGAAACTCCTGAGGCATCAGTTTAACAGGCATTCCTCCCACCAGGGCAGGCTTCCCCGAGATAGTCAATGACAGGCAAGGACCTGTGAGGCAGGTCAACCTAAGACAGGGACAGTCCCTCATGCTGAATGCTCTCTGATTGCCGCAAAGCAGGGGGAAAAAAAAAGTAGATACATAACAAAAACTGCAGGCCAGCCTACCCAAGCCACAGGTGTCCAGGCCAGCCTGTATGAGCGTGTGTGCTAGGCACAGTTGTTGGTGCTTTGTCTTCTCACCCCCTCCCCCAAGGGATGTCTAAGCAGGGTCACCTGCAACAGATTATGCTATATTAGGAAATGATGGCTGCCCCACTAAGTGCCAGCTTGTTACAGAATGGTAAGTATTACACTCCTGCTTTCTTTTCTATGTATGCACTGGGATAGAATTGGTGACTAAAGTTTTCATCTTTTATACCCAACCACGCTACACCTGTGTCTTTGGAAACCTGTAAGAAAGTTCAGCCATTCCCAGCACTATCGAGTGACTGCCTTGTACTCTTTTTCTTTTTTTGCTCAAAGCATCCTCATCCCTTCCTGACCCTCTATTGAGCTAATCTTTGTATGTATGTGTATATATACTGTCAAACACTTGCTAGCTGAAGACTTTGCCAGCTGTGTTGCCTCATCTAAACAAGTTGAAATTCTTGACAACAGAAGCCTTGCCTTATGTTTCTTGCATACCCCATTTATAAGAGTATTCCTTAAAAAAAAAAAAGAACTTAAGGTAATCTCTTAAAAGTGCATGGTCGCAATGCTTGCTACCTCTTTGTCCAAATCCAAAGCACCTTCTCCAGTTGCAAAGAATAAAGCTGTGTTCTGGGAAGTGAAGCTTGGTCCCTGGGATTCACAGTCTCCTTCTTGACTTTGGCGCCCTTCACTTCCTCAGTTGTCCTCTACTCTGGCACCCAGCTGAATCTCTCTCCTGATGAGATCCATCAATATTGAACAAGCAGTTGTTGAAATAAGTGACACAGAGGGCGATGTCATCCATGGCTGTCTTGCTTCCTGACTTGAGAAGCTAAGATTAGAATAATACATTTCCTATCACTTTGCTTTGCCTCAGTGACTATTTCATTTGGAAAAATACTCAAGGGTATGGTTAAAGGTGTGTTTGTTGGTGCAAATCATGACTGTCTGTTTAGTGTTTCAGTATAAGGTTCGTAATGAATGCAACACCTACAAAAACAAGAGAGCACAGTGATGTCCTTTAATGAACGTATTCTTTGTCATCCTCCAAACTTCTGAGCTTTTCAGACGTTGTTTCTTTGTTAAAAGTGAAGGATGAGTTCATCAAGATAACCTTAATTGGCCTCTGTCTGGTCCTTATATAAATACAATGTTACTGTCCACGGGCCCTATGATTTTTGTTAACACACACATACAGAAAAGGGGGCATGAACACACACACACACACACACACACACACACACACACACTCACAGAGAGAGAATTCAATTTGATTACAAGAATGATTAAAAAGATACCATCCTATTTCCATGACTCTTATGTTTCCTCTTTCACATACAGAAGTCCACCATGCTTACTTTATCAAAAAGAAAACAAGAGAGGGTTTAGGGCAAGAGAGACAGAGATTAGATAACAAAGAGGACTTCCTGTGTGCCAATGCTAGTCATCTAAAAGTCAATTAAGTAGTAGCTTCCATGTGTTTGAAGAAAATTAGCCAGAAAGGTACAATTAACTTAAGAGGGTTCATTTTTCCATGTTTATTTTTACAAAACTGTGCCTTACTATTTCCACAGAGGGACCAGGTATACCTCAAAAGAGCCCTGTCATTGAATAATGGTGCTAGATACAAACTCTGTTCTTCCTTTTAATATTTTAGATAAAACAAAAAAGAAAACCAAGCACCAAGAGATCCCTGTGGTCCACAAGGGACATTTTTGTGTATCTTTAGATCTTGTATCTTTAAAACACAGAGGGAATTAGCTTCGGTTTCTATGACCTGCAAATCTTTGATTTCTTTCCCTTTTTAAAATCAGGATTTAAAACATGAATATTGTGCTCTTCTTAACCTGAAACTGCATCAGGAAAAATGGAGACTTGGATGAAGCCTCCCTCCCACTCCCTTTGTTAATCTGACAAGTGTCACATGTTACAGCTAATATGCTATTCTGTTCTTATCTTCCAAAATTCACATGTCTCAGAAAGCCAGAACACAGTAGAAAAACAGCCTGGATCCTGGCCCTGTCTCCAGAGTTAAGATAGACTTTGGTTCCCGCCTTAGAATTTCCTGGCCTGGGAGTAAAAATTCCACCCTTAAGCCATGCTGTCACTTAGAGGAGTCCCATTGTACTGGTATATCTGAAGACCAACATTTCTGAATAGGTCCTTGTTCCATTTTCTCCTTTCCTGGGGAAGTTTTATCTGGGCTCTGATGTACAGTAAGCTGATAAGCCTTTATTTAGCACCCATATATCATCGTTGAACCTTTAAGGGAGGCTGCAGAAAGCCCAGCCTTTACCCATTGGTAACTATAAACAGTAAATCCTGGTTGATGCAGATGGAGAAGGAATTGTTTTGTTTTGTTTTTTTCTGAAGTATAGATTACAAGCTTCACTTGGGCCTTTTACATTGATGTCTGACTGTCTACTTATGTACAAGAAGATTTAAAATTTTGTCAACTCAGATAGATACAACAAATTATAACTTACATGTGCACACATATATGATCAACCTGACTAGCATCACATAAATCTATTAATAGCCTGAGCCAGCATGCTTCACAATAAGAGTCCATCCACATAAGAAATAAAATCTGCAAGAACGTCAAAAGGTTCAAAATCAGGACCATGCTGTTTTATAATAAGATTTCCCTCATATCTAAACTACTTTTTTGCATATAAATTGTGGATGCTCAGATATGTTACTATCAATTTATTTTGCATACGTAGTAAGCACCCAGGTGTAGTGGCACATGCCTTTATTCTGAACACTCAGGAGGAAGAGGCAGGTGGTTGTCTTTGATGTTCCAGGTAAGCCACATCTACACAATGAGTTCAAGGACAGATAACACCACAGAATGAGACCATGTATCAAAAGCAAAACCAAAAACAAATAACAAAAACTATCATTTCTCCTGGGAGACACTTATACTTTACTATGTGAAAAATCATGGTATAAAATTATCAGATAAACAATGAAAGTATAGTTTTGTAATCCCAACTTCAAGATGATAATCTCAAAGAGACTGATCTATCCAGAGCATTGTCAATATTCTACTTAGAGTGGTTGGTTTGCTTTTAAATTGGAGTGTCTTACAAAGGTGACAGGTGTTTTTTTCTGCCTGCCATACCCCAGTTTCAACATGAAGGTTTGTGTACTGGTCTATGACTATCAGGAATTAATTCCTTTTTTTTTTTTTTTTTGGTTTTACGAGACAGGGTTTCTCTGTTTTGGAGGCTGTCGGTCCAGCCTGGCCTCGAACTCACAGAGATCCACCTGCCTCTGCCTCCCGAGTGCTGGGATTAAAGGCGTGCGCCACCAACACCCGGCTTTAATTCCCTTTTTAATAAGAGGAGTTTCTTGAAAATAAAGTTATCACCTCCAAGGAGATCTTGAGAAAGTCACATTTTGAATTCTCTCCAGGGGTCATCAGCACCCCTAGGGGTGAGCCCAGTAACCTTGATTCACGAGACATAGGCATCAACCACAGATCCATTCCTAGAGGATATTTGTCCAGAAGGTTGAAAACAAAAGAAATCAAAATTATTAGAAAATTTTCCATGGGTTTAAAGGTAGACTTACATCATTTTGTAATTTTACTAAACACAAAGGAACTTATTTGTATTGATAATCCATATTTTTACCTTAGAAGCTATCTTCTTAAATCAAAATTACTCTGTCCTTGAATTTACAGTCCATTAGTCTTCCTGGCAGGTAATAATAATAGAACCATTAGTGATGTTTTGGCAAGTGTTTCTGGAAAATGAAAAAAAAATGAGAAACACATATTTCCAGCATGTTTGTTACTTGTCATTAATAAGAGAGTGATTTGTATAATAACTTTGGAAATGAGTGATTCAAATTCAAGCCAGAGAGTGGCATTGCCTCGGAGTGCCAACTGCTAATAAAACATACTGAACTGGAAAAATTCAGGCAGTGTGACACTCACCACAGGAACTGTTGACCTTGGATCAATATTTCTGATTTTGTGGGTTAGAACTGTTTAGGACACTTGGGCCTTCTCTCTGAAATGGAATAAAGAACCTGCTGCACCCTCCCCAGATAAATTACTTTCTTTCTTAAGCCTTCTCCGGGTTTTGTGCCTCAATGACAGATGTATGGTTGGAACTTAATGAAGCTGGTTGGTGATATTAGGTTTGGGGCTACCCCTATAGGAAGCAGCAACACCCCTTCTCTGT